CATGTTAACAAGAAGGACCAGTCCCTGGAGAAGTACATCATGCTAGATAAAGTGGAGGGTCAGTGAAAAAGCGGAGGATCCCCCAACAAGGTAGATTGGCACAGTGGCAGCCGCAATGGGCTCAAGCGTGGCAGTGATGGTGAGGATGGCCCAGGAGCGGACAGTGTTTCGTTGTGTTGTGCGTAGGGTCGCTATGAGTTGGAATCAACTAGATGGCACCTAACAACAACTCCTGATTAATAATACATAAATAGAAGTGTTTTGGGAATTTTGAATCATCGACTGCATCTCCAAATAACGTGGTTAGAATAGGGAAATAATGAAGACAATCCACGCAATTATTCATGCAAACAGAGCATTGACTTTTGATGTAAATATAAAAGTAACTGCCACCTAGTAACTAAGTGACTAAACAAATCAGTTGCTGTGAAGCCTATTTTGACTCCTGGAGATCGTATAGGACCGAGTAGAACTGACCCATAGGGTTTCCAAGGCTGAGATCTTCTCCCACAGAGTCGTGGGTTCAATCCAACCTTTCAGCTAGCAGCCAAGCGCTTAACTCCTGCACCAGCAGGACTCCTAACTAAGTGCCTGTTGTTGTTGTTATGTGCCGTCGCGTCAGTTCCAACCCATAGTCACCCTGCATAGGGTTTCCTAGGCTGTAAATCTTTACGGGAGCAGAAAGCCTCTTTCTCCTGTGGGTCAGCTGGTGGTTATGGACTAAGTGCCTGGCCTTCCTAAATCATTTACATGGCTCTGTTAAATCACATTTATTATGTTTGGCTTCATAGACTGTTTCTGCTGTTCCAAATCTTACTTTCTAGGTAGCCTGAAGTGAATGGCTGTTTCTATGATTTGGGTGGCTGGAGTTTCAGGAGCTTCCATAGATTGACTTCTCAGGCTGTTTGCTATTCCTTGAGCCAGCAGACCTGCTCCCGCCGGCTCTTGTACTGTTTCATCCATATTGGAGTCCTGGTGTGGCGCTGTGGGTTAATGCGCCAGACTGGTCAGTGGTTCAAGCTCACCAGCTGCTCCTCGGAAACCCTATTATAGGGTCGCTGTGGGTTGGAACGGACTTGACTTCACTTCACAACAACACCATCCATATTCTACCTACAGGGCTCTTCCCCCAGATCTCCTTTGATATCTTCCCGATGAAACTGACTCTCCTGGTTTCCTAGTGCTGCTACACTTATTAATAATTCTCTCCAAACCACCCACGTATGGTTCTTTCAACACAAGCCTTCACTTAGTCCCCTTTTCCTTTTACCTTCTCGTCCTTAATGAGTTAGTACCAAGGTTTTTCCACGTCTTACTTCCTCATTAAGGCCTCTATTTTTATCATCCCAACCTGTAGCCTTAGAATTGTGTTTGCCACAACTACCAGTTTTCCCATAAGTCCCCAATATTTTGAGAACGCTCTCTTTTTCTCTTTCCCTCTCCCCCTTGATTGACTTCTCTTTCACTGTCTCTCTTTTTTACGGTCACACCTTCCCTGACCTTGTCTGTGAGCCTGTCTGTATTCATCTGGGTCTGTCGCCCTTTCTTTGAAATCAGGCTGTCAGATGTACTCAAAGTTTTCATTCAAACAGTATATCATGAACAAACAGTTGTTCATGATTTGAGTTTTGCAATTGTTTTGAAAAACCCATATGTTATGATAGAGCCTGTAGTTTTTAGCTTTAAAATTGCAAGAAGTATTTATTTATTCTTTAAGTACAGAGCATGATATAATACTACATTCTAACTAAAATAAAAAATTCCTTAAGGTATTTTTACCTCATAACTAATAATAGAATATGATGTCTCACCCTGTTCTTTTGTAAATCAGAGGCTGGAATTTGTTTTGAACTTAAATTCAACCAGTATATCTTGCTTACTCATGCTCATGTTTGTAAGGTACTTCAGTGCCAAACATAGTGTTCTAAAGTGCACCATGCCTGATGTGTACGCTGTCTTGTTGTTGTTGTTGTTAAGTGCCGTCGAGTCAGTTCCGACCCATAGCGACCCTGTACAGGGTTTCCGAGGGTGTAAATCTTTACGGGAGTAGAAAGCCTCATCTTTCTCCCGCGGAGCGGCTGGTAGTTTCAAACCGCTGACCTTAAGGTTCGCGGCCCGATTCGTAACCACTACGCTACCAGAGCTCCTTGTACGCTGTCTTAAGAGAAAGCAAAACACTGGTACGTTGTGCAGGTAAGACAGAAACAGTTGTCCTGCTTTCTGTGTGAGGTAGCTCGTATATGGTATTTCGTTGTGTAGCCTCATTGACACTAATGTTTGCCTTCCCAGAGGCAAGAGACAAATAAAATTGTTGTGTAATGAGTCCTGCAGTTGTTAGAGAGGCTGTGAACTGACCCAGCTCGTACTGACCCCGTGGGATAGAGTCAAACTGGCCCCTGGCTTGTAGGGTTTCCTAGGCTGTCATGTTTTTGGAAGCTGATCACCAAGTCTCTCAGGGAGCCACTGGTAAGTTCGAACCACCAACCTTTCAGATAACAGCTGAGCACTGAATCTGTGCCACCAGAGCCCTGGAGTCCCGCCTCATGTGAAAAACCTGGTGCCATACGTTCAGAGCTGTCGCTGTGATCTGAGACAGGAAAGTATAAAGTAAATTCATAGAAAGTTCTTTGATACAAGTTAGAGTCATCCAAATCCTACAAAATTGAAAACATTCTCGTGGTAGATTCACCCTTCTCTGTTGCACCCTGTTTTTTCAGTTGTTTTAATGTTCCCCGTGATTGGCTGGTGCACAGCCTGGAGTATGTGCCCTCGCATGGAGCACATTCACAGGCTGGCCTAGAGCCAAGGAACAAAACAGACTCTGTTGGGGATACAGTTTGGTTTACACGTTAGGGCGAGTGAGGGAACTCTCTGGACAGGAGGATGAAATTGTGCAGGGACTGGAGGAAGCATTAACGACACTGCCGTTTCCTGCGTGATGACGTCTCATGGATCCCACCTCAGTCAAGGCTGAACTCTTTGATTCCTTACTGACACACGAGCGGTGTCCAGTCGCATTTGTTAGCACTTGGATACAGTTTTGCTGTTTGCTTTCTTTGTAGATAAGAAATGCATTCCGCCGGGAGAGGGATGTATATTTATACAAGATCTTAAAATAACATTTAAAATAAAAAGGAACACCTTAGAATATATGAGTACACTTTCCTAGAACAAACACATAAGAAGAGTAACTAAACTTGCAAAACAATCCCGTGCATTTTCATGCCAAGGTCATACAGCCGGCACGTTCCACATGGAGGAGCCCTGATGGAGAGAAGCGTCCCCAGACCCTGAATCACTCAGGACCTTCTTTTGTTTGTCTTTATCCTGCATTAGCTTTATTAATTAAGCTTTTTTCCAGATATGTTTACGCAGAAACACCTGTTACAAATAGGAAGGAAATGAAGAGATAGAATCAAGTAAAGCTAATGATTGAGCTGTTTCATTGCTTTTCAGGTTGAAAAGCGCCGTGATGGTTTCTGTTTCAAGGGGCTAATCTCTCAGAGCTTTATCAAGGACTAGAGCATAACTGCAAGGAACTCTGGTAGCGTAGTGGTTACGAATCGGGCTGTGAACCTCAGGGACAGCAGTTTGAAACCACCAGCTGTTCCGCAGGAGAAAGATGAGGCTTTCTGCTCCCATAAAGATTTACAGCCTTGGAAACCCTGTACAAGGTTGCTATGAGTCATTTCCGACTCCACGGCACATAACCACCACCAACCAGAGCATCACTGCATCCCATGGTTTCCCACCCAACTAATTTTTAAGAGCTTTGTCCGTATCCGTTTGTTGTATTTAAAACATGATCAGTTCTGCAGACGTCTGTTGTTGTTGTTAAGTATTGTGGAGTCGGTTCCGACTCATAGCCACCCTGTTACAGGGTTTCCGAGGCTGTAAATCTTTACAGGAGCAGAAAGCCTCATCTTTCTCCCACGGAACAGCTGGTAGTTTCGAACTGCTGACCTTGAGGTTAGTAGCCCGATTCGTAACCACTATACTACCAGAGATCCTTTGCATACGTCTAGAGCATAGTAAAATTATTAAGTTACTGATTTATTAAGTATAATGATTGTGTAATAAACTGTAAGATTTTGTGTCGTATCTCTTACAATGAAAACAAAAAGGTTTAAATTGATCTCTTTATTCTGAAATACAAGAATAATTTTCCAAATATATCCAGAAAGTTAAATCAGTTTTAAAGAATGTGTGTTTGATTAATTTAAAATGTTTTGAAAAACTCATTAATTACTAACTGAAGTCTTAGTGTGGCACTGTATGATAAGCACTGGACTACTAACCACAAGGTTGATGGTTAAAACCCACCAGCGGCTCCTCAGAAACCCTATACAGTGTCGCTTAGAGTCGGGGCCAACTCGCCAGCACCTAGCAACAGAAGTGAAAGCAGAGTCCCGGGTGCTACAGTTAACGTGCCAGGCCGCTCACTGAAAGCAGAGTCCCGGGTACTACAGTTAACGTGCCAGGCCGCTCACTGAAAGCAGAGTCCCGGGTAC